AAAAAATAATGCAAAACATCCACATCTGACACAAGTTTGCAAACATTTTTCAACCATTAATTTGCAAATGCAAAATTCACACAGCTTGTAGGAAAGTGTGCAGCTTTCACACATCTCCTGGGGATCTGTGCTGTATTAGTCAAAGGTTTAAACCCAGTGTATTCCCCATGAATAATCTCTCTCCCTTTCCCCCGCCTTCCTCCTGTCCACATCTAAATGCAGAATCCCCAGCTTTCTTCTCTTCAGTTTACAGATTATGTGATCCAAAGTGTCACTCACTGGATTACTGCACATAACCTGAGCACTACCCGAAGCTTACTTGTCTTCAACTTGTCCAGCATTACTTAAATGGAATTATCCGTCACAATCCATATACCGAATCTGCATAGCCCACTTATCTCAAGATTCTGTGTGTCACCTACCAGATTATCCGTTTTAATCCATACATTGAATCAACACAACATATGTCTTTAATTCATGGGCTCTGATGAGCTATAGTATCGCTGAATGGATTATTGCTCTTTATCCATTATTGGCAGTTGTAAGACTGTTCACTGCCTACTCTCTCATGCCCCATCTTCTGAGCATAGAAGCAAAATCAGTTTTCAGCAAACACAGCTTTATCGCACATCAAACACAGCTTGATATAATACCTGCAGTGATACTTCGCATAACTTGGAACCCAGTTTCTTCCACACAACAAATGTGTGTGTTACCATGCATTAAAGATTAGAATTGGTAGGCTAATCTTGCTTTCAATTACATTCATAAATCACTGGTTACTCCAGAACAGTCTTTGGAGTCACCTAGATTTAAGTGGATACAACACAGAGCTGATTTTACCCTAATGAGGATCCCTTTCACGGTAAGTGCAGAAAACTGTTCACCTCAGTTGTTTATGAACTAACCTGTACAATAGGAAAGGATTTTCAAACAACAACAACAACAAAAAAAATCAGGTTCAGGCTTGCCTGGTCTTTCTTGACAGACTCAGGCACAATCGCTATTAACAATGCTTTCACTTCAACAGAAAACCACCCCAGACAGATTGGAAACAAAAGTCAGTTTAGCCTTTTGTTTCACACACCTATTCAAAATTAGCTGAGTGGAGAACATATAAAATACGTGTTATTGTTTCCTGACAACTCCTGATAAGCAAGAGATGGACAAGATTAGTAGAAAGGCTTTGTGTACACAGGGCAGGTTTTAAAAAGCATTCTCATAATGGTTAAAGCTGCCTTACTCACATCGGCGCTAGCTAGACTGTGCACCTCATAGTGCACCTGGGGGGCCAGAACCATTCTGTGAAGTCTGCTCAGAGGAGGCCCAACCCCAGTGTAAGAGAAGTTTCGTGTTAATTTTCCAAGTATAGGGATGGACACAGTCACTGAAGAGTATGGAAACAGGCTTCTTACACCTTTTCCTATCCATGGCCTGCCCTACACGCTGCATCTGCTGCAGTCGGTAACATTGCTTTGGAGGAAAGCAACCACTTTCACCCTGTGATGCATACGTATCAGGCAGCTATGCTGAAAGCAGAAAGGGGGTTCTCTCTGCTCCACTGAATCCCATAAACTGCATTATCCATGAATAATCCAGAGGCCTTTTGAGCCCTGTTCTTGAATATGACGGATATAAGGAAGTTTGAACAGGCTTTAACCAATTCAATACACAGTTTTACAGCTTTATTTTAAAATATTTCTATTTGAAGGCATGTTTTGGGGGGTTTATTATAGACTGACTTGTTCTGAACTGAGTAAAAATTCCATAGATTTAAAACCAAAATTTATTAAGAAATCTCCAGTGCCAAACTTGTTTTATTTATTTAGCCCCAGGCTACATCTCTAAATAAAACAGAGGCCTTTGACCTAAACTTTCTACAGTTATGAAAGGATTTAGAATTTGTCCAATTTTAAATATAAGAGTATTCCTTTGCAGTACCTTTCAGTCAAGCCCTGGAATGAAATATAGATCCTTGTAACTGTGATTCTGAAGCTTGCACCTAGGCCTCTGCAGATACTCAGTAATGGTTCTCCCATTTTACAGACATGCAAATGAAGAATGGGAGGCTTAAAGTAGCTGCCCAAAGTAACAAAGCCACTAAAAGGAACAACTGAATACAAACCATAGGAGTCTGGTTACTTCCAGCCATTCACTAACTCACCTCTTTAATAAAATATTACTGCTCTCTAATTTAAAGGAAACAACACTAATAGAAAATAAGGTCTTCCACTCCACCTCCCTTTCTTTTAATCTCTCCCCTAGAATAAACTCAGTAACACAAACCTGGGCACTAACAATACGTAGCCTAGTGCAGAGACTTTAGCACATGATGGACTAAAACTCCCCCAGATCTAATGAAAAACACAATGAAGTTTTGAACGGTTAAATGGAAAAAACGATTCAGTGCATAAGACAGTTGGGCAGCACAGCTTCTGGTGCTGTCCACATTCCGGGGATATTAATAAGACACTACTTGTGCGGGGTTTCCAAATATCACTAACAGAGAAATGGGAGAGGAAGGGGTAAATGCAGCTGCCAGGCCAAATATAGAGGCAAGTTAATTAAAAAATCACAACTGGAAAACTTAATAAATCCACATTCCTATAGAAGAACAAAAACCATTTTCTAGCATAATATATGTGTGTTTGTACACGCATTTGAGAGTATAAAGCAGCTCAACTTGCACACCTTTCATGCTGCCTCACTAAATACAGCTGCAATACAGCTGAGCCATTGTTTGTTGGCTGCTCATGGCTGGCGGTGCCATGAAAACCGCATTCCTGGGCACTAAATAATCAGCCTGCCTGACCCCCCAAGAACCTGTAAGTCAAATTCATTTACCCCCAGAGGGCAATGCTCTATTGTATCCTCCCTCCTTTCTAGCCACCTAGGAACAATGGACAATAATTGCAACTGTCACGGCAGTCAGTAGGAAAAATAAACCAGTGCCTGTTTTCACAGCTTACTGCCAAACCTGATCCAAACACCTAATAACCATGCCCCCGACCACAGAACCACAGTTGCACTAAAAAGCCTCAGATGTGAGGCTTTTCAACAGAGCTGCAGAACAATAACTCGACTTGTGTTGAAAATATGAAGCTAAAAACCAAAAAATTAAAGCAAAGAAAACTCTTCTTTGAGGCTGTACTGTTGCTCCCCATCCTCCCCCCGGGCAAGACTGAAAGGACTGTTGAATTTCTTTCGTTCTAGCTTATAGCTGCTGCTTTCAAGTTTAGCTTGTGAAAGGGAAAGAGAGGGAGGGAGAAAAAAAGATTGCCCTCCAACAGAACAAGATCATAGGGACTGGGAACAGACTGCCTCCTCAGAGCAGCTTTACCGAGTCCAAAGGCAGAGGAGAATCATTGGAGTCTTTCTACAGGCTCTGGCATATCAAGAGTTAAAGAGGCTCCAGACAACACACAAGAACTGTTGAACTACGCACCCAAAAGTGGGTATGAAAGCTGCCTGTATACTTTTGGCCTGAAACATCTTAAAGATTCATCAGTTCATGGCAGACAATGATGGTATTTTAAAACAATAAGCTTGTCAAAACCAGAACTCAGAGATAAGCCCAGTGGCTACCCTACCTCCTTATGGCCTGTTCCTTTATGTGCTTGGAGCAAGCGTGCTCAGTGGGAAGAAAGAACCCAAGGTTTTGCCCTCTGTTATGTAATAATAGTAATAATAGTATTTCAGCCTATTTGGGGCCAAAGCACTACATTCTGTTATAAAGTTATTCTACATATGTAATGAATATATATTTTTGAATTACAGCCTCTTAGGGAGAAGCAAGAGGAAGCAAGTGACATACCTTCCTACTTGTGTAAGTCTGGACTAGTGCAAGCTAATGCTAGTGGCTTATCGGTGATAAGTGGGAAGGCATGTCTAATCAAAATGATACTATCTTTGCACATGTAGCAATACACTAACCTCTGAGAGCATGTCATGTATACTTTACTGAATAATGCCTACCTTTTGTACAGAAGAGCCTTAAATCTTGTCAGGCACAAGGCTTGGGAGCCTCACTAAATGAGGATCTAGCAATCAAGGACAACATCAGTAAGCAAACAAACCAAAAATAATGGATAGAAATGAAATCTAGTAAAAGAAGGGTTTAATTTTAATCTCATTCTACTTTCACATTTTCAGAACAACACTGGCTTCAATTTTGCTACTCCAGATGTACACTGATATAAATGGGAGAAGATTCAGAGTCACTGTTTCCTTTCAGAGTGATAATGGCTGCCCTGAAAACTAAAATTTTTGACACACATGTATTTTGAGTCAGTTCCTCATCACGAGCACTGAGAAAGAATTATAAAGATATTAAATTGCATGAAAACAAACACTACAGGTTCCCTAAAATAACCTCACATATATAAAATGGGGAAATATCTTGGCAAAGCAAAAGCTACTGCTGCTGGAGAGTGGTCAAATTTTGTCATTTTCCTTCTGGAGTACGGCTTTAAAAGAACATGCTTTAGTGCACAGCTGTTGTACGCTGTGTTTTAAAATCTGCACTGACTAATTTTGGTACCTAGAGGTATCACTACACAAACTTTGCTCTTTTTATTTTTTTTTTCCTCTTACGTGCAAAGAAGTAAAAAAAAATTAAAAAGTACATCACCAAAATCTGTCCAGAAATTAAAAAAAAGGACTTATGATCAGCCTCAGATTTCAGAAGCTGAGCTCTGCTATACTCTGATAGTGTTTGATTTGTGAATTGACTTCTTTTTTTTTCCCCAATCTTGCAATAGGACATGTCCTCTTATAACACAGAACGATATATGCAACAAAAGCTTTAAGTAAGTTCATTCACTTAGGGTAATATACCATTTCATTTATTTGTATTAGCACAGATGGAGAGCATACATTTCATTTAAGGCCCAAATGACGATGTTCCAAGGGGAGGGGAAGAGGAGCAAACAAAGTTCCATTAAAGCCAGTGATATCTGTATATTCATTCTCAAATTGCTTTAGCACGGAAACAGCATTACCTTTTATTTCTCCAAAGTTCCCTGATCCCATGGCAAGAAGCTTGTCTTTCCAGTCCTTTGATAGTAGCTTTTCAATACTGGGTGTTTCTGAGTGAAGGGGGGGGAAGAAATGGAAGCAAATCAACATGAGTGTCTTCACAATAGAACTCATTAAAAGTCTATCTGCTAAAAATAAGGCCAACCCTATTCTGGGCCCCAGTTCATAATGACTTCATCAACAAACTGATAAGAAGGGAGGGGAAAAAAAAAAAAAAAAAAAGAAGTGTTTTGTCACCTGCTGTTTCAAAACCATTAGCTTTTTCCTCTTATGGAACAAAGCCCCGGTAATTCTGTATGACAATGGGCACATATAAACCTGCAGTTCATTGTTTTTCAATTTGGTGAACAAGTTGCTGCCTATAATGGATGCCTGTCAATGTCTTGGTGTTAGTCTGCAGTCAAAAAATAATTATGTTGATAAAATGCAGAGTAAAGAGAGAGGGAGAGAGAAAGAGAGAGAGAAGCAAAGAATTAGCTCCTAAATCTGCTACATGTAATTATATCCCTCTGAGCCTTTACAATCACATCCACTTTATAATGTGTGTTTAAACATCGTGTGGTGGTAAGCATACTGTGGAAAGATTTTCCGGTAACACGCACATTATAAATAATAATAAAAAGTTGGGAATGAAAAAAGCTTTAAAAGATTGCAAAATCCAGAGGGAGAAAAGGCACTGCTTAGAATGGAAACCCATTATTTGCTCATTTCAGATTCTATCGCTCCCTTTAAAAATAAAATAAAATAAAATAAATTTGTTCAGCATTTTCAGGCAAAATGAAGCGAGGGTGTGGATAGGTCTGATATTTATAACTCTTGTATTTTGACCCCTCTTTGTATGGAATTTTAATGCATAAGTAAATATAAACGCTAATAAAATTCAGAGAACATTAAACTCAATTCCAAACAATGTAATTGTATATTCTTGTCAGCATTTAGATGGGTACACAATTACAATAGCTTTCAATCCCACGATTAGCACTGCATTCAGTTCGAAAATGGAGTGTACTAAAAGATAAGTGTCCCAGTATGCGCCATCTAAATAACAATACCCACACTTATTATCTGGATCTAAGACATATACTGCTATTCTCCACATTGGTGTTTATGTGTATTTGTATTTGTTCCGGCATTTGTTTACCCCCTACCAGGAGCATAAAGGGAGTACATGTTAACTTATCAAAGGGAGCGTCTGGCCTAGAGACCATACAATTATTAGCAACTGGTTAATCTTCCCCACACTAAAAACCATTACGAGCAACCTTCATTATCTTGTTTGGCTAATTCCGCCTCCCTTTTCTGAAGCCACACCTTGAAGCTCCGCCGAGGCTTTCCGAGGGGGGGGGGTACATGTTTGAGAGGTTCGCCGGGTCCCGCCCGCACTCACGGCCTTTCTCTCGCTCTGCAAAGCATCTCTCACACCCGAAGGAGCCCAAACTCCCGTTAAACCAGCCTCACGCAGTGTTATAGTAACACGTAACTAACTACAGCCGCGGGGGCACGCTTTCCAACCCCCCCCCCCACACACACACACCCCGCTCATTTGCCGGCGTTGCAATAGCGGGTCCCATTGGCAGCAGGGGAGATTGCCCCCTCCCCTAACATTGTTATACACGTTGCAACCCTCCAATTTCCTCCTATACAAGCGTGTGCTCCTGCTCTGCGAGCGGCAGGCTCTCGCAGGACTGGTTGCTCCGTGAGCTCACCGCGCACCCGATCACTGGGATTGACTACCTGAGCGCAAGTTTTCTGTTAGAACCTCTATACTGCCATTGAAGCCGAAGGAATGGGATGGGAGAACAGCGGTGCAATGAACATCTCCGTGCCGGGGCTGGACATGCGGAGATGCTCCCGTGCTCTCGGCACTTGCACAACTCAAGTTTGTACGTCCCCGGCGAGCTTTTATGAAGGGAGCCGTTCTTCCAAACCTATATGACTACGTCAAATAAACGCCGCCACTTGCCCCCTTTTTTATTATTCTTTCCTTATATTTTCTTCTTGCGCTTTTCTACAAAATTCTCGATTAGCCTGTAAACAGGCCAGAGCAAATGCGGTATTTGCGGCTGAGGACTGTCAGTCAGGAAAAGCTAACAAACCTTTGCAAAGCAGGAATGCGGCCATAGAAATCCACTGGGGGCTGACAATAGGCTCCAGAGCCTCCGGGCACCAAAACCAGCCCGCCTTACTTTTAAGTCTATTGTCAGCAAAGCCCGCGACAAAGCTTTTCCCCTGCAGCTAGACAAAATATTCGCCGTGGTGCGCTCGTAAAGAACAGAAGTCTTCTGTCCAACTTGCCCCGTTAAAGCAACAGTAGCCGCTCGCCGGGGCTGCCAGGGCCCTGCTGCGCCGGGGCTGATTCCCTGCCTGCTTCCCTGCTTCCTTGCCTGCCCCCGCCCCGCCGCGGCCGGACCGCGCCGAGCCACCGCTGCTGCCACTCGGGGAGCGGCGCCGGGCCGGGGCTCGGGGTTACTTTAGCGAGGTGTAGAGGGGAAAAGGGGGGTGACAGTAGCTTTGTCAGTGGCAAGTCGCCGCCTTAGCGGCAGAGTTCCCAGCCGCGGGACTCGAGTTACAAATGAGTGTCCCTGCAACCTGAGTCCGCCGGTGATGGTGCCGGGAAAGCTGCTGCGGCAAACGAGCGGAGAGTAATGAACGCGGCGGACGACCGTGTATCAATGCCTTGAATTTCTGCGAGAACGGTAAAGATCTCAGTAGGAAATCATGATTAGAGATGTGAAAGGCCAAATGGCAAAATCCCAATAGTAACAATGCATCTGTTCATTAATGTGTGAATATGAGTAATATGAAAATTTAACACAATTATAAGCCCCTCAGCAATCCTGGTGGCAGAAAATAGATTGTAGTGATCTAATCAGAGCTTCCCCTGTTGAAATACTGTATGTTAACTATTTTAAATAATATTATAGAGATTTTTGTCTTTAGAAAAGGCCATGTAATCATATTTAATTGATGTCCTAACTTAGTTTCAAACCTCCCCTGAGTTGGACTGCAATTTTTACATAAAGCACTTCAACAGAATTTTGATACAGAATGAACAGTAATTGTCCTTCTGCTAATACTTAAAAATGACTTTAATTCTGTAAGACAATAGCTTCCCCACCCCTATAGCTTTACAGAGCTAAAGAGCTGTATTAAATTACAGCTTGTTTAATTCTATTACATACTGTGTTAGCATATTATACTTACATAAAATATGCTATTCGTATACCCCACCTATCACATTGCAGTAACTGCTTGTGAAGTACATTATGCACACTATCGTGGAAACAGACATTTATTATGTCATTTATGCACACCATTAAAAAAAAGATTTGAAATTTACACATCTTAAATAACTGTTTATAAGGTTACAACTGCAGAGCTTTCATGAATTATACAGAAACAAAGTCATCTTTTGTTCAGGTTTTCTTTTAGACTTCATTGGGAAGATAATGCTCCCAAATTAAGAAAAGAAATAAACACTGTATCTTGTTTGCAAAGCACTTGTTCTCCGGATGCATTAGGAAGTCAGTAAAACTTTTAATGCTTGCACATATAATGTGCAGCTTGAAATTGGGAAAAGTGGCCTGCACACAGGAACTGCTATTTCTGATCCCTTCTCCAACAACTTACTCTCCTCTTGGATTCACCATAACAGCATTCTTGCGTCCAAACTGAGCTATACTGTGACAGATTTTGGATATGCATCAGGACAGCTATGTATTATGATAATCTGTATTTGTATGTCAAAAAAAGCTATACATGAGAGTGCTCTGCCATTCTGAGTATCACAATTATTCAGAATGTCTCCTAATTCAGTCTGTGAGAGGAGCCCAAGATTAGCCCCGTTTCTTCTTCTGAGCCCCACTTGAGCTAAGAATACCCCCCATTACTTATTGGCAACACAGGTCCTAAGGCACACAGTAAAACAGTTCCAAGTCTATCCACAGCACAGTATGAATACATCTACAAAAGAGTTGTTCAGGGTTTGTTTGTGAACAGTAATTCATTAATGTTTGGGAAACATTTTTGTTCCAGCCACACTATGAAAAGTGTGAAGTGTTGTTACAGAAGAGGATTACGGGTAGGATACCAAGGAGAAAAAGAATGAGATGGAAAGAGTAACAGGAATCATTAAGTAAATGCTGAAGAGGAGAATGACTGAATTAATAGATACAAATTAATCGACAAAAATTGTTTCTGCCATCTCTATTCAACCTATTTATCAGTCATTAGCTCTTTCCAAAGATATTTAGGATGCGTTTTGTTTTCCTTGTATCACCCTTGCTTCTGTTGCTTGCATGTGCTGCTTTGCACTACTATGTATGGCAGCAGCAGCACCCACTGGCGAACAGCCCCCCAAGTGTACCAGCAGCATGCTGGCACCTTGGGGCCCACCGGCCCTGTCACTCTTCCTCTCTCCCCACTCCTTTCCCTCCTTCCATACCTCCCATGCCAAGCACCACGGAGGCTGACTCCCTCATCTACAACAATGAGGCCTGGAGACTGATGCCAGCAGCCAGTAATTCTCATGCAGGCCTTCAGCGCATGGAATTAAACCACCTTCTCGGTGGTGTCATAGTCCCATGTTAGCTGCTCTGATCTGCACATGTGCATCAATCTGTGCGTGGCTGGGCATGCATCTACATATACTGAATTGCTCTGAGTACTGGAAAGCAAATCATCTATGTAAATGAAAATAAAATCGCTTTTGAATCTAAGTTTTTGTATGCTAACAAGCATGCCACTGTCCCTCTACTTACGCATTTGATGTTTAAATACAGCTTCATTGACTTATTTCCTTCAAAGATGGAAAGTTTTCACACTGAGAAAGAAGCAGTTTGTTTCCAGGAAGGCTACAAAGCCGTGGTAAGAGGCACCATTTTTAGCACTGTCTGCTAGACTTCTATTTAATTTAGTCTACTTCCAGAAGTTGTGTTAATTTTTCAGGCATTGTAACTCCCCTTTGGGAGTGACCTAATCCTACTTTCAATTCAGTGGCAGTCCAGATGCACATGTACCTGAACCTGCCTCGGCAGCCTTCCAAAAACCG